CACATCATACACTTTTTACTGAAGAGATTTGCGTCGTCAGCAAACATTCAAAAAAATGTGCAATTGCGCACATTGACATAGAAACCTATTCAACTGTAGACGATGTGATATACCTTTGAGTCAACTGGCTTGGCGCTGGAAGGCGGGGCTGCGTTACCTAATTAAGGCTGGATAATGATCAGAGAGCATCCCGCAAGAGAGACGCAGACGGCGTCGCGGGCGCGAGTGGCCCAAACTAGGTCACAAAGCTCCGCCTTCCAGCCGCCAAGCCAGTTGAATCAAAGATTACTCTAACATCAAGCTAGAAGGCAAGATAAAGATAAGCAGTTGTTGAGCAGTACATTGCTGAATCAAACGTATGAGACAAAGTTAGCTGCAATAAAAGTTTCTAATTTTCTTTTTTTTTTAATTTATACACTTTCTTGCTATTCTTTTGATCTCGAGACATAAGTATAATACTAAAGAGGTTTGAAAAATGTGACTTTGCAAAGAATTTTTTTCGAGAAGGGTATAGCAAAAAGTATCTGTACAGGATTATGACCTCACGCCATTTCTTAATTGATGGCTTATCAATGTGAAAATTTTGACAGTGTTTGCGTTTTTAATCAATGAAAGCCATAAAATCAGATTTTTTTCTCATTATTGACATGGCAGCACTGAAATCGATTTATATACTAAAACATCTTAAGATCATTTGCTAAAGCAAGAATTAATCTCTGATTTGCGATATCATAAGCAACAAGCTGTAAAAAACGTCTTATTCCTATCTTCACCCATTAACTCACTTTATAGTGTTTCGTTACAATTTCTTCTAAAAAATCTCAACAACAGCTTCGCACGGGGAAACGGAAGGGGAAGGGGGGGGGGGAGGGCAACGATAGGGGGCAAGGAACAGAAAGAAAGTAAATCGGAATGTTTTGGGAAGTATTTTAGAAAAGTTAACTATACAAGTGACTTGTATATATTCATGGTATTCAAAACAATTTTCGAACTTCAAAAATTATTCTTAGTCTTCTCAGAATTTGGCCATCAGAGGGCCTTAACTTTGAGAAAAAAAAAGTCGTTTCTTCTCTGCAGAAATTTCCGAGAGTTTCAATAGTTGGGACCTTGAAAATTTTGAAGAGGAGAAATTTTTTCATAAGCAGAAGTGTAGTTAGTCAAGCGCTTCGAGAACAAATGTATAACAATATTGTTAGACTGTCAGAATTTTCATAGGCTTATGAAACCGTAAAATCCTGAAAAAGAGGAAAATGTTTCCAACATTTTTTGTAGCAAATTTTATACATAAAACATAGGCAAGCCATACATTACAATTTACAGAATTCCTTATCCCAGGCGCCTAGTGTACAAGTTTAAACTTGAATTTGAGCAGACGGTTTGTGCACAATTTTTTTATTTTTTTTTGTCTTTCTTGCTATATTTAGTATTATAGCAAGCTTGTTCATTGGAATTTATAATTTTGTAACTTCCACGTTTCCTCTTTCTACTTTTTCATGCTTACATCACAAACTCATCTTCTACCTTCTGCTTTGGAAACTAACTGTTGGTTACTGCATCGAGAGATGTCAAGAAAGAACTTATAAAATTGGTGCAAGTTTCCTGTTTCAACAACGATTGATAAGACTTCATCAGAAAAGTACATGATCTCTTGCAATGGCTTGTGTAGACCAATGTCAACCTCTTCCACAGGGGTATTGTTTTACACTTCTTGTAGCGGTTCCTTCCTCCTCCTGCATACATCGCATTGAATTTCAGTATCACTTCGGTGCACTAAGTAAAAAAATCCGCGTTAATGCGCGCGAACTGAAACCACCAGCTAAGTGAATGAGGCAAAATAACATTCTCGAATTTCTAGAAATTCATCCACGAAACATTCATACCGCACATCCATTTCGGTTGTTTTCGTCTGCAGCTAATGTGACCAGGTTTTAGGAAAACTGCACAATTCTTTTTTAATTTAGAAATATCATTTGTAATTGTTTACGAGATAAACTCCTGATAAATCTCCTACCGAATGTCTCTGCTTATGCCAGATTGTTCGTAATTATTTCGATTACCCTTTGATTCAACTGGCTTGATGCAGTCTGCGTCTCTCAGTTTGCGCGCGTGCTCTCTGATCACTACCTAGCCTCAAAGGCAGTGCCCCGGCAGATTCGGGTCCTGGGGGATTACGTGTGGTGGGGTTCCTGGTCACCCCATCGACCTCCAGGCGCACTCCGGCTGGGTGATGTTCCCCCTGGGCCGAGAAAATAGCCCTTGAACCGGCGCGCGCTTGGACGGCCTTCCCCTCCTGTTCGGCGCGGGACCCCACCAGCGCCCTCCCCCATGATGCATGCTATCCAAAGCAAGAATTACAGGCGGTAGGATCTTCGTCTGAGGACCTCCCCCAACTTTCCATTAAAAATCTCGTCCAAGCTGCTTTTCTGGAATTAGGAAAACGCCCCAAAATCGGCTTTTACAGCCCGTTCAAAGCTCCAATTCGGATTCTACGTGGCGAAAAGGCCTAAAACATGCAAAAAGGTGGAGGTGCAAAATCTGCCGGGACACTGCTTTTAATTAGGTCACGAAGCTCCGCCTTCCATGCGCCAAGCTAGTTGAACCAAAGGGTACATCGTTTCTAATTCTTGCCTGTTCAATCCAAATAACATAAGCTAGCCAACGGTACACCCTGACATTGTTCTTTTGCAGCACTCAACACCCTCCCCCCATTCTCTCTCTCCGCCCCCTCTCCACTGAAACCCCCGTTGGGAAGTGAACACATATCTCCTGGATGTCTCCGTCTTTGTTTGCCATACGACAGTTTCGCCTATCATGCTGCACATAATTCGAAACAGCCTTTCAAATTTCTGAAATAAGTGCTCCATGGGGAATTTTTGATGAGTGTTCCATAGGGAATTTTTGTCATAAAAAAGCTTTCATGAATATCATATGCCACAAAGATTTACTATGGCTCACTTTTGAGTAGGCAATAAAGCCTTTTTCAAGGACTAAAGTGAAGTCGCACATCTATTTTTTCCATCAAAACAATGCACATCTTTCACGAGCAGAAAACCAAAAACTTAAATAATCTTCCTGATTTGCATAAAACTTGTTTTGGTATCTGTTCGGTAATAAATTGGCATAACTCTATCAATCAAACATGGGTATCCCCATAAGCCCATCAGAGGAATGTTTTTGTTCGTCGAAAAAATAGATCCTAAGAAGGTTTTCTCTGCAAATATTCGCTTACAATCCAAGTCATTGAAGTTCAAAAAGACTCTCCAGATTTATTTGGCATTTTTTCCTGTTACCCTAACATACCAATGTGCAGTAGACTTAAAAATTAGTCTTGGACAAGTACTGGCAGTTAGATGCTTTATGCAAGACAAACAATTTGTGGCTTTTTTTGGAAACAAAACATGGTAACAAAGTACACAAATAAAGTTCATTTGATGTCAACAAATGCCAGATGAAATGAGATGGCATGGGAACAGTAACAATAGCCAATGCATTTGAACATCATTTTAATAGTTCAAACCGCTGTTGTGGGCAACATTGAATGAATTCAAGTTCAAGTCCTTTGAAATGCGACATCGATGAGATTTCCCGCACCCTCATATCATCCCTGGATAAGCCCACTGAACGATGGTGATTCGAGGGAAACGTTCAATTGACCTTATTTCATAGCATCTCAATCATATCTCAAATCTAATGTGCTTGTAAAAGTGGTGCTCATTTTGTAAAATTCGACTTCCCTCCTATTATGTCTACATCGTAACAGTTTCCTTTAATGAATTGCTTCAATATAGTATTAGTCAATTAATCTTAAGTATGATGTTAGATGCTCAAATAGTTGAACAAATTCATCCGTACCCTTTACTCTTACGAAATTCATCTCGGTACTCTACAAATTTTGGTCCTCCTGCACAGCCCATGGTCCAAACAAGCTTAAAACCCCCCTCTTTAGCACATCTGGGAGCCGGACTTGATCTGATGATGGGTGGTTTTTGATTGTCTGTTTATCGCTGTTCAGGCTCTAAGATATTCGTTTTCTTATCCAAAATGTGGCACTCTTGTGCGTATTGAATAAATAAATAAATAAAAACACAGAAAATAATAGTTACTTTATGCTCGTAGAAAACCGGATCTCCGTTTGCTCATAGAAATCATGAAATAGGTCGAAATATCATTTTTGATACAAACTTCATTGTAATTATTCGCACACAATATTCATATTCGTTTACCTTGTTCGTATCATGCTCTAATTTTTCCTCCTTTTTTGTTGTTCGCAAATTATATCTTCAGTATATTTTTTCTACTTTATCAGGCGAATGAGATGTTTTGAGAAAAGATGATTTATTAAGATAACCTCTAATAAACTGTCTTTTTCTGTTGCTGAACAGATTTACGTTAGAAATTTCTTATTTCTCGTATGACTTTGAAGTTTTGTTAGGATGTGAAAATTGAGTATTTTTACCTTAGAAGGGCAAATACGTCTACATGAATAGTGAGTTTGTGAGCGTAGTGTGACGGAGCTGGCAAGGATATCGTACGAAGTGTTCACTTAGAAGTAGTACCGTATACATACCGTAACTTGCATGCGTCGATGAATTAGACAACATCCGCAATATTTTTTTAACATCAACATCGACTTCTCAGTTTCAATTCTAACTTCTAAGCTGTATTGAAGGTATTTCTCATTCCAGTGCTTTGATATTCAGTTTTCATATCTAGCTAATCGTTATTTTTTCTTATCGACAAGCATTGATTAAAGCAGTCAATTCTGGAAAAAAGTACCGTTTTTGATATCGCCGTGCTTTTTTTCACTGCAGGATGCAAGCAGCATCTTCCATGTGTGGCTGATATTCTCTAGTCTGTCATTTAATTGCGTAAAGGATTCATTTACATTTTCTTCTACACTTGATACAGCTATTTTTCCTTATTTGCGTCATAAAGGCTCGGTCTCTGTCTTGTTGTCTCGCGCATCATTTTCAATAAGACAATAATTCGAAATTTGTTTTAAGATAGGATCCACATCAGCAGCTTCAAGGGATCCTAATGGTTGAGGTAAGTTATGTCATCAGATGAGCTTCGCTCTTGTCCACTCTATCATTCCTTGGAATTGCTCCCAGTCGAAAACTAGAAAGCACTGAGTCGAAATTTTATGGCCGACGTGGGAGTCGGCTGCTGGAGCGTGTTGAGTCGTTTGTTGGCGGTTTACACTTTTTATGACGAGTCTCGCAAACTTTGCTTTTTGAGATTTTTGCATTTTCCGAATTGGATAGCAGGTATCGTTAGCCGCTAATAGAAATTCTCTTAATCCGGTACCAAATTTTTTTGGAAGTTTTCAGAAGTTTACATTGTTTGAGCATTTTCCTTAATTTACTGTAGTTTTTTTTGAAATGAACTCATTTCTTTTCAAAGCTTAGGTTTTTCTCTAGGTGATGGTTGAAGCCAACACCGAGGAGATGCCATCCTCAAATGGCCTCGATTGGGAGAAGCTATTCAAAATGGCTGAAGATTTGGATCTTGATGAAGCAACGCGTGGTCCCATAGAGAATGCCTTGGTGCATCTGTGAGTACACTATTTTTTCGAGTTTGATTTAATAATTTTGATACATAAGAATATTGATCGAAGTTAATCCAAGTAAGCAAATATTCAATGAGGGGTTCTCACAAATTAGATCCTTGCAATAGTGGACTCCAAATTACTCTATCCTTTTCTTCTCCCTTCCCCTCTTCTCCCACATCCCAAAATTAGTTGCGAAAAATATGCAGTGGTCTATAAGCCGTAATTCTGACTTTTCTTATTTGCGAGTGCCTGTAATAAAGTTAGTAGTTATGATGGAGCAAAATCCTTTTGTGGAATTTTTTGCAGCTTGGCGTTAGTGCATTCGCAAGGTTACTCCAAAAAATTCCTCTTATCCTCTTCCCTTTTCTCCAAAAATATTCGGAACTCCACTGGTGGACTGAATAATACACAAAATGCGTATCATAGCTTTTTTGATGCGAATTTTGCACTGTAGTCCTTCTTTATATCGTTCCATGTTCATATGTAATCATACATGGTCTACAAAATGCTTTGATTAAAAGGATACCTTTCTGTCGCTCAATATTTCAAGTATTTGCTTTCAGAGAAGGCAAAGAAGTGCACAAGTTATCGGCAATCCGAGGACTTGGCGAACTTTTTCAAAACGAAGGCGAAGATGCGATACAGAAAGTTTTGCCAGCTGTTCAAGTAAGTTGATGCATTTGAAGACTGAAATAGCACTGACGTATGTGATCAGCAAGTGTTAGTGATAAAAACTGTCAAATGGCAACTAACGGTGACGATGCTCAGGCAGTAGCACTTTCTTTTGAAAAACTGAGCGAGGGCGGGGGGGGGGGGAGAGGAATTGCAGTGTTCCATTTGTCAGCTGCAAGTGATACAAGAATTTCTTCGAAAGGAGTGTAAATGTGTTACTGCTAGAAAATATACATTCTCAGCACTTACCACTTTTTGGGAAATATGGGGAAGAGGATCCTGATACGACTGCAAGAGGTTAATGAAGCACGGAAATCGATATATTGATTGACATATTCATGAGAGTAGCAGGAAAGAACTGCACAGTTTTGTAATTATTAGCTAGGAATCTTGTTGCTCGAAGATCACATCCATCCATCAACTTTTGAGCATTAATTCTAAGGATTGGAATAAGGTTCGAAACAATTTTCTTTTCAGAGAGCATTACTAGAGGAGCGATCGAATCTTGATCTACACTGCGAAGCTGCTATCGTTTTCAAAGGAATTATCCAGAATGACAAACTTTGTGGAAGATTTCCGTGAGTTTTTGTTCTGGACAATTTAAACACCAAAATAAACATGGAAACCTCTTTTTGCACATGCTACATTCTGTGATTGCAATGTGCCATTCTTAGAAAGTAACATCTGTATAAAAGGACCGCTTTTATACATTTCCTTTAATTTATTAAGTCGCGATATAATTGTTTAAAACCGCACTTTTTCTAGTATTGACATAATAATAGCTATTCATTTATTATTTTGTTCCAATGCGTGGTATAATTACTTCTCTCTCAATTTACACACCTTTCCTAAGCATTCGAACAAAGCTGAGAATGGCCACTTTTATTTGCATGGCTTCCTAAATCGAACACTGGTTGTTATGATGTCATTCAACATCGCATATTTCAGAGGTCTTGTCGACACCATGCTTCAAAATGTGTTGGAAAACGTCACAGGACAGAAGGAAAATCGTGAGTGCCTTCTAAAACTAAGTATCATCTACTTCCAATTAAATCAATCAGAAACTGCTCTTTCTAGGTATCCATTCATAGATTCTTAATTCTTTCTTAAATTATTATTTTTTTATTGAAAAATTCTTGAAGGGGCACAGTTTTGTTGGCAAAAAGAATGAAAACGGCATGAGGAAAGGTATGGTGGAAATGTTTCTTTTGAAACTGTTCTGTTCGTATCCCTAGCTGAATTTCTACATCTTTTGTTTTTTTTGCTCGAACTTTTTTTCAACTTACTCCATCAAACGTTTTGAAGCCCTTTGCCCACTCATCTCTATTGAATTTCTCCCCGTATTCTTCCAAAAATCCTTCTGTCTAACATATATATGAGACCTACGTCATGATTCTGTTCTATCGTCCAGCAAGCCCATAATTTGTGTATAAATTTTTTTGTTAATGCATCTAGAAAATTCCTGCTTTGAGTGCTGTGGTTCTAAGCGTTTTTAACACAAAATAAATTGCTTTTTTACCTCAAACTGACCACGTAATTCTTTTTTCGCCTCCATCAATCATAAGATCTCTTATTGCTGTGTGTTTGTGACATAATCTTCATTCCAGCTTCTCTCTCTATATTATTCTCATTTTCCATATTAGTTTTCACATTTATTTTCTTATAAATCCTTGCTAATCCAACTAGCATTGTCCCATAACATAGTGATAGTGTTTTCAGTTGTAATCAATGGAAATGGAAAATATCGTATGAAGGTCAGCGCCGAAACACAGGTCCATTATTGTGAGTTCTAACTACAAAATACTTATCCCCATCTTTACCTAACCTGTGTCGAGTGCTTAACAATGCTTGATCTCTATATACTTTTCAATAAGCGTGTTTCTCTAGTTTTTTCAAAATTTCAATTCTTTTGGCTGACGGATAATTTGTAAAGGCCGGAAGACTTCCAAGTTCAAGCCCCGGAACTATACGCTTTTCTATATAGATTTGTGTGAAGTATAATCTGAGAATTTGAATTTTGCAAAATGACTAGCGGACAAAATGATTTACATATTCGTTTATTCAGAATTTAATAATAATTTATGTGGTGAGGCTATTCTAGCGGTGAAAACTTTGAACGAAGTTTTGTGAGTAGGAGTAATTGGTCAATGATCTGGAATCGCATGGTTTTTATTTTCATTTCATAAGCGAACGATTTGCATTAGGTTATAAATATTAGTAGCCCATATTTTGACTGCATTTCTAGTGCTCATATGTGACATTGAAGTTTGCTTTCTCATTGAAACTTATGTTACGAAGTTTCATAGAAAAGCTGGTTTATTTCAGTAAGTGCTGCGGCATGGCTAGAGACTTTAGTAGACGTAGCTGAACGAGTTTCTTTGGAATCCGTGAAACAATATGTAAGTTTAATCCTTCTATTTTTATTGCAGTCATTCTTCCACTTAGATTGTCTACAAGACATATTATGGCCTCTCTGACCTTTGAATTTCTTAATATGATTATAGAAAAGCAGAGGAACTTCAGGAGAGAAGCTATAATTCAAAAGAAAAACTCTGCTTAAAATTTTTGATCAAATACCCAATTCAACCTTAACTATAGAAATTCTATCTAATTACTAACATGTAAATGATCCAATAATCATTACAATTCAATCAAAACATCACTATCTATTTCTTATGAATCGTGGACTTAACCTTTCAATTGTGCAAACTTTGGCATTTTGTTGTGTTTTCTTCTGCAAAAAATGATTGCAATATAAGAAGCGTACGCTCCCGATTGCTTGCTCTAGACCTCTATCGTTTATTATCTTTAGATTTTTTTAACTTACATTATATTAGGTTGGTGCAAAAGTAATGCGCGTTTTGCGAGTTCTCACTTTGACGTGCTATAACTTTCTAAAAAATCCATATTTTTCAGTGCGGCAAAGTTCATCAGAGGCACCATACCTTTCTCTATACAGCGCACGTTGCCTTAGGTTACTTCGCAAATCGGTGGAAAAATATGGATTGACAAGCAAAAAAATTTTTTTCGGAAATCTCGTTTTTAACTGATCATAACTTCCTTCAAGACTTGTCGGTATACATGATAAGTTGACTGTCTTGTAGCCGCAAGCCAGTAGTACAAAAAAATACGAAAGGGCTCAAATAAAGAGTATTTGCGAAAAGGAAAAAAATAATATTCAAAATTTTCCGCTTTTTTCAACATTTTTTGTAGCCCTCAAAATCCCAAAATATGGAGATTTTTGATTTTCTGTGTACTGAACAGCTTCCACATTTCTGCAAAAGCTGTCAACAAGAGTTCCATCCTTACACTTACAGAAATGAGCAAAACTTTGGCGATTACCCTCTTCAAAGAAAATCTATGGGCCACAAAATGGCCAAAACCATCAATCATGTTGAGGCGCCGAGATCTCAATCTAAGTAATTTCTAGAGAAACAATAAAGCATGCATAACGTAGAAAATTTCTACTGCATACAGTATTTAAATTTTCAAAAGAATGCCTTTACTCGCGCTTGAATTCTGGCCGAAAAAGTAACTGCAGTGAAATTTTAGTTTTGAGTGCGGTTGTATGAAGCTCTATAAATTTTTAACGAATGAGGCTAGAAGCTTCTTTCAACCTTTATTGAATAGAGCATGACAGAAGCTTCTTGACAATATGCTGGCTGAGTTTCCTAGGAGAAACTTTAATGGAGAAAAGCTATCTTGAAACAAGGGCTAGAAAAACGCGCATTACTTTTGCACCAACCTAATACATTTTTAGTACCTTTGAGAATTGATATTCAAAGAATATCTCCGAAGAAGTTCAAGAAGCATTTCAGATAGTGCCCATTGTACAACAACAAGCAGAACCAGCGCAACGAGTGCAACGGCGGATTATCGCCACAAAACTTTTACACAAACTTGCTGACATCTTGCCATCAAATGAGTGAGTCGAACAATTTCCTGAAAATCTCGTGCATCAATATTTCTTTGCAATTTAGGGTGCGAAAAGAACTAGGGCCTTGCGCCCAGATCCTTTGCCAGGATTCGAACTCAAATGTCCGAACATCAATGGCGCAGCGATTGCCAGTAATCGCTAGAGCGCTAAAGTACGTTACATTCCAGGGATCACAAATGTCGCTTAGAAAATCGATATATCAATTTTTCGTTTAGGAACTCTTCGGACACGGTTTCATTGCTGCTACCTTGCTTCGTGCAATTATACCAAGATGATGATCTTACGGTCAAGGAAGCCTGTATGAATAACATTGCTCAATGCATACCACATTTCACAAACGGTGAGAAGAGTGCTTGAATTCTTCAAGGTTGCTTGTTAAGAAGAAGTTTTTTAGAAGCGAAGAAGACTACGGTATTCCCTTTGGTCAAGAAGTCGACGGAGCTTAGCTTGGAAAAGAAGGACGACACGTTGATGGTGATTGCAAAAAATTTTGGAGAATGGTAAGAACAGCTTTTTAGAAATTGTTTTATCACCAAAAAGTCCAAGCAGAAATAATGATATGCAAATAAACACCACACATCAAAATCAAACAGGAGCGCGAATTAGCCATAGAGCACGGGTTGCGCGAATCGTGCTTCACCTCTTCATACATAAGTGCCGTACAATCAATACGAGGTGATATGCAAAATACAAAAAGAGCGTCAAGGGAAATAAATATTTTTATTGTTTTAAATTTCAGGTGCTACGTTTTGAAGGATGTCCTGGACCGCCTAGATCTATGCTGGATCCTAAACACCTACTGCAAAATTGCTCAGATCTCGCAGACTAAGTCCGAAAGCAGTACACAACAAGTGATGTTGACAATGTGTAGACGGATGTCTGCTTTCAATCTACCTGTGAGTTCCTCCAATGACTACCTACCTATGGCTCGGCACGAGTTGGCACCAGGGAAATGCGAGTTCCCCTTTGATCTTGAAAGTTTCGTATCCCTGTCCTCGAAGTTTCCCTTGACTCTAAAATCCAGCTTGACCCGAGGTCAGCTGTGCAGAGCCTTGGCTATAGCCTAGTAGATTTGATGACAATATGTGTTCCTGCGTTGGGTTCAAATGTGCATGTACAATGAAAATGTGTGCGCTCTATGGCCATTTTTTACGCTCAAGTCGCAAGCAGTACTGCGAGCAGGGTATTTGCTGTTCATGGACACTATGACACTACTTAATGTAGACTAAAACAAGGATCGTTTTTGTCTGCGAAGTGAATAGATAACCATCAAACAAAAGTGCGTCGAAGCACGTCCGTACTTGTATTTCCACATTTCAGCCTTTTCCATTTAACTTATCATTTTCAGTGTATGGTGCAAATGTTTCCCAAGTCTTTCGATCGTCTTCTGCCACTTGTCGAATCATTCGCAACAGATGCAGGTTGGTCCAATTTTTGCAATTTTTCAAGTCAATCTAGTATCGAGCAAACTCTTATGACTTGTGAGATCTGCATTCCGATTTGATTAAAAAGCCATGTTCTAACCATATGGTCAGTAGACTAAATAAAATTCTAGCAAACACCTGGTAAAATAAAAAAATAAAACATAAGATAGTACTTTTTACCACTCGAAATGTTCTTGATATATTGTGTATCCTATTCTTTACACAAAACTTGTTAGCGGTTGATATCAGTTGATAAAAGTTTATTTTGTTTCAAAATCGATAAATTAATAGAAGGAGTAGGAATTTTGCTGCGAAAAGTAGCCTACGGGGTGAACAAGTGTCGAAAGCATATGTGTGCAAAGTTTGGCTCCGATCGGTCCACAACAAAATTTTCTATAAAGAACACACTAACTAACAATTTACCAAAAATCATTTTATATAGTTATGTACAGATGAAGTTCTGATTCCAAATCCGTTTTTGCTGTAATAGCGAACTCTAGTCATGTGAACACTGTGGGCTAAATAAACTTCTCCCATTTCTGAAATAGTATGTTTCACAAACATTCGTGGCGTTTTTATGGAGTGACCCTCCGGATTGACGGAGGTATTTTGCAAAAATCAAAAAATACCTTCAAACATTGTAGTTGATTATAGGGAATCGAATTCAGTCGTTACCATACGCGCCCTTGTTATTTGATGCTATAATTTTTTTCTACCATCAAACAAGAACCCTTTGCAGAATAAGATGTAATATGATCTCCCCAAAGCTCGAACTCCAAAAGATTTTTTTGTATATTCAAGCAAGCAAAAAATGGAGGGCAAATGATTTGTCCTGAAAGTGTACGGAACTGGAAAAAAATGTTCCTTCACTATTTTTGCTCATATCTTTTTGTCTTCATCAATGAAAATTCTCAAAATCAAAATCAAACCAAGTTTCCAAAGTGAGTAGTCAATCTTGCGATATGTCACCTAAAAATTATGTAGGCACATTTATATAGAAGTCTCATTTACGTCACCTAGTGAAACGTTACTCAGGAGGAAAAGCTCCCTGTACAGGATCTTTATAAACGTAGATCGATTGTATGCTGTAGCGCTACGGTAGGTGTAGCAAGAAATCGTTGACCACTTGCTTAATGACATTTGCAGCGGATCCATCTCTTCTAGATGACGAGGTTCGGCTATCCTTGGCGTCTTCTTACCACGAGATCCTTACCCAGCATTCCACAAGACCTGAACTTCTACAACCTTTCATTGATTTACTTCGAGGAGGTTCAGCAGAGGTTGTTGGGAAGGTAAAAAAAATTTGCTCTGTAATTTTATCCGTTACAATGATGAATTTTTTCAGTTGACGTTCAACATGGACAAAATCCTTCCCATATTATATAAATGTGCATCCTCATCCGATGGGACTATTGTGAGTTCGTAGAGCCAAATACACTCGAAAGTTCAAATTTTGGAATTTAGAAAGTATCGACCATCCAACTGGATCGTATTCTTATCGGATGTAACCAAATACTGCGTGGTACAGGATCCTGGAGAAGCCACGCTGCCCTCTTGGAAAATATGAGCGTTTTGAAAAATTGCCTAACATACACTCAGCTTGCTGACACATTCATTCCTGTGCTACAGAAAGAAGTTCTAACAGCGGTGGGTCCCGTGCAGAGCTGCTTACTGTGCCATTAGTGATTACTTTTGGTTGATTTAGCGCGCAATTCCATGCCGTGTGGCGGCTGTCACTACACTGCTTCAGTTTATGAGAGAACAACCAGAGAAGAGAAAAAGAGAAGAAACCATTGATTTTTTCAAATTAGGTAAGGTTTTTAGTATGCAAAAAATCAATATATCGATCGATTTGCAGAAGTAGCTGGACATTCGTGCTGCTACCGAAGGATGGTATACCTCGATGTGGTAGTGGCCGTGCTAAAATTATTCAGTCGCAAGTTCTTCATAAAATATTTCCTGGAAAAAATGCTAGCATTAGTACACGACAGGATATCAAACATCAGGTAAGGTCAAATTTCAGCAAAGTTTCCATCCTCGAAGATTGCTGTACTGTTTTTTAGAAAAAAAAACAGTTTTTTTAGAATCAAAACCATTCGCCTTCTACCTCTTGTCAAAAAACATCTGATTCTTCCCGATGACGATGGCGTACTGCTGTCTTTGGAAAAAGCTGTTCGTGAAGCTCTTGCTGCCGAAAAGGACTCTAGGAATCGACAGTTTCTACAAACGGTAACAACTTGCATTGCTTACTGTCATTGGTCAGCATACGGTAAGAGTACGGTTCAAGGCAGCATGTGAGCTCTCGAGGACGGAGACAAGATCAAAAGGCGATAAAGAGGATGCAGCTCGAGAAAAGGAGGAGGAACGATTGTGGAATGAAGAAAGATTGAAGACGAAGGTCACAACAACAAAGCAAACAATTAGTCCGAAAAATTCCACGAGAGCTGGGCTTACTTTGCCAAGGTGATTCTTCGCCTTAGAATTTCTAAAAAAGCTTGCATTTGAATCTCAGGGCTCCTGAATATCGCGCCAAATCGCCATGGAGGACTCAGCGCCGTGCAGTAGCTGTCGTTCGTCCACAACCAGTAGTCGTTATGAGGTATAAGGTTTTACCTACAATTTATCTGTTAGTTAGAGAAATATCCATATCTGTTCCACAACCCTTTACATTTTCGTTATAGATCAGGCAGTCCAGCGCCAAAACCAGACAGTAACAGGCCCAGTCGGCTTCCATTAAGTACTGCATTGCGGGAAAAGGAAAAAGAAACACTAAAGAAAGGTTACCGAGACAATACACCCTTCTTGTAATAAAAATTGGTTAATTGGAAATTTCAGCGGCGACCGAGACTCCACATTCTCGCCCACCCAGCCGAGCATCGTCTGTGTCATCTAGGAGTAGCAGCAGTATGAGCACATCAACGTCTTCACTGGAAACATCGTCTAAGTCTTCATGTGAGTTTTTAGAGGGAAAATGCCACAAGTAAATGTGTAGTGGAAGTTTTGTTGGTGACAATTGCTTATTAATGACTGAAGATGTGCTGGGTTTTCAGGGCTCGTTTCTTCTGAATGAAAACGAATTAAGGAATTTGAACATTCAAAACTCTGAACATTCATAGCCTCATTATTATCTATTTCTTTATGGGAAATTTCTTTTGAGTCAAGAAACATCAGAAAATAGAGTCGGTCCAAAGGGCTGAGAGGAACCTTCCTGAATGGGTCGCAAAAATTTTTCTAAAAAATTCTACATAAGTTGTAAGGCAGGTGACTTGCTTATACTTGTGCACAATTGAAATAATTTTTCAACCTGATAAGAAATTCGAGTTAGCGTTGTAAAATTTTTTTTGGAGGCTTGGCTGCTGCCCGCCCCTTCTTCTGAAATTTCAGGGTTTGAGCTTGCAAAAATTTTATTTTCGGAGTGCGTCACTAACGTCATGCATTTTTACACAAAAAAGAAATTCTGGGACCGCTATTTGTAGAGAACTAGCCAGAATACTACCAAAAAAGAGAAAGAAAAGAATAGATTGAAAATGACCATTTTTGGTAAGCCTGGCATGGGTTTAGAGATTGAACGGTAGTATCCACGATTAGTTTTCGTGGATACTACCGTTCATTGTCTTTCAAATAAAAAAAAGCTCGTTTAGTAAACAATGGTCCCTTTGGTCTACGGAGGTCGGCCACCACAACTACAGGCTTTGGATCATCATCATCCTCCTCATCTGCATACTCCCTAACACATTCAAGGTGCGCTGTTTTACCATATCTTCTGCAGAAAATAAAATCTAACTTTGACAGAAATCATCTAACTGCACTGCATAGTAACGATCAGGTTGATAAGGAAAATATCCGAAAATTGCGGCTGTTGTTTTTCGGCGAAGGTTTTGGCGCTGCGTGAATGACAGAGCGAGGAAAAGGATAGTGGTGTGACATGATTTTGGAAGGGAAGTACATGCATGAAGTTAAATTAACAAAAAAAAAACAATAAAAATTCAATATACGAAACTCGCACATACATGCACATGTTGAGTTGAGAGGCAAAACTTCGAAAGTTTGAAGAACCAGGATCGACATGATGGCGCATATCAAGCTTGGGATTGTTTCAGAGAGAAGAGTAGGGCTTACAAACACACATATGTATGCAAAACTAACCCTCAAACATTCCCTTCCCCCATCGTACGAATGCTTCGCTCAAATACGATCTGCTCAAAGCGCGATTTTCAATATCAGGTTTCTTTGCAACAGGTGCTGGATATGTACTTATCTACAGCGCACAAATATTGCCAAATTTGGTACACAAACAAAGCTAACATGAGTAACAGGAACAAACAACGATAACCTTCGTAAATATTTTGCGATCAAAGAATAAAGCCTTCTTTTTAGATTTCTAATTACTGGAGAGTGAAAAATGAATCGTTTGCAGCGCGTGTAAAGTTATATTAGGTTGACACGAAAGTTCTTGCGCACGATTTTCAAAAATTCGTAACTTCTGATTTTTCCAACCGATTTGACTGTTTTTATTTTTTTGTGAAAGTGTAGGTCATGCTCTTTGTAACGACACCTTAGCTGCTTACTAATGAACATTTCTTGCATGGATAGGAGCGGTAGAAGAAAATCAGTCAAAATTCGAATTTTTTGTGTAGGGTCAAAAAATCGGAAACTTGCAACAAAAATCGGAGCAGTCAGTATTGTAGGTTCTTTTACCAGCTCTTTCTAACGTGCACAGTTTGCGCCGATTGAGCGTCTCTATGAAAAGTTATGTTTTACCCGAAAAATGCAAAAATAAATCAAATTCTCCCTTTTTGTATTGCTTGCTCGAAAATCATAACTTTTCATAGAGACGCTCAATCAGCGCAAACTTTGCACGGTTAAAAGAGCTGGTGAAAGAACCTACAATACGGACTGCTCCGATTTTTGCTGCAAGTTCCCAATTTTTTATGACCTTACATAGAAAATTCGATTTTTGACTGATTTCCTTCTACCGCTCCTATCTATGCAAGAAATGTTCATTAGTAAGCAACTAAGGTGTCATTACAAAGAGCATGACTTACTCTTTCACATAAAAATGAAAACATTCAAATCGGTTGGAAAAAATCGGAAGCTACGAATTTTTGAAAATCGTGCGCAAGAACTTTCCAACCTACCCTCGACGTCAATCCCTAAGTTACATTTGCAAAGTGAAGTGGTGTGGTGCAGCCGCCTCGCTTTGCGCTCGCGCCACGTTGCTGGGGCATCGTTCAAACATGATGTGGCGCTAAAAACAACGTGGCGCCGTAACACGTTCAAACGTGGCAACAAGAACAACGTTTCTTCGTTGCTCCTGTTGCCATGCCATGCCAACTCATGCGCTCGCAAGGTGGCGCGAGCCCAAAGCGAGGCGGCCGCACCACAACACTCTACTTTGCAAATGTAACTTAGGGATTGACGTCGAGGGTAATATCTCCAAAATCGGTGTGTTTGCGCGCGGCAAAAACAAAGTTTGAAGGTATGAAAAAATTTTGTGAATGAGATGCTTGCTCAACTCTTTCCCACAATGACTGGCACACCCTGCTTCGCGCAGCCCTGTCCATGATGACAAAGATAGAACATTTTCTAATTCTATACGACAATTGTCTTGTCGCCACACCTATATGTCAGATTTCTGCCCCCATTGCGTTCCCGTTTTATCATGCTCACTGTACACCCCCAGCTCCTCAACTCGGATTTGCAAAAAACTTAAAATCGGTAAATGCAATCGGTACTTTGTCAGATGTCACCTGCGTCGTCAGTATGCTCACTTAGCCCTTGTACCAACTTCCAGTTTCTATTCTTGAGCTTCGACAAATTCGATGAAAGTAATTGATAATTACTAAAATCAGTATTATACCGTAATCAAATGCTCACTTAAAGGCAGCGTCCGAGCAAAATTTCGCCTCCCATGTTTCTGCTATTCTGGGGCCTTTACGTGGCCCTGATTACAGTTGTGAAGTTCAAATTGTTCAAAACCCTCAAAAAACCCGATTCTTGGGGACCCGCTCTTCAAGGAGCGGACGAGTTTCGCATTGCTCGTTCCCATCGCATGCCAGCTTGAGGAGCTGCACTGCACGGTTGCAGTTGCATTGCAATGTGCAGTGCAACTGCAATGCAACTGCACAGCTGCATGAGCACTCGTCCTCAAGGGTGGTTTGTGATATGAAGGGGCGGCTTGTGATAGGTATCACAGGCTCGTATCTCCTTCTAGAGGCCACGTCAAAGAATTGGACCAACGCAGATCGGATACTCAAGGGCCCCTCTTTACAACTATATGCTAAACTTGGTGGATGGGTCTTGCCTGGACGCTGCCTTTAATGCCCCTTTACCAGCTCCCAGTCCCATGGCTCAAAGTTTGCGAAAATCTGAAACTGTATCAATCGATAGTGAGTAGTTTATGACACCCGTCTCCCCACAAAGTAAGTGTGCAGAGTTTGGTACAGGATCGTACAGGAATGCACCTTCCCCCCTCCCCCCCCAAAGCGTAGTTCGACTCGAGTCGGTACAGAATTGGAAAATTCTATTTGGAACACATATACAGACATAAATGTACAGGGCTTATCAAACGCAGTGTCGCTTGGATCAGCATCTCCGCTCCCGCGCTGGACTCTGCGTCTCTTCCGCAAATATGCTCTCTGTTCACTTTCCCAGGGCGAGCGTGGGAAAGGCGGAGCCTCAATTAATCAAAACTGATTAAAGGCAGTGGATCGGCAAAATCCAACAACTCAGAATTTTAACGCGGTAGGTTCCTTATCGCCCAAGTATGAAAAGAGTGCAATCCGGTTGCACAGCATGCTTTCCCTGCCGAGAAAATCGATCTCAAACTTACACGCGCAGGCCAATCTTACACGCATCTGGACGAATTGGTAATTTTCTTTTCATCATTGGAGGCTGCCCGCCGCAACGCTATAACCATTGGGTCCTGCCATGATTTAGCGTCATCGGCCTTGCTCCACTCGTCCAATTCCAAAGGGAAGGGCATTAAAAAACGCTCATTTTCGCCATTTTCAAGCTTTCAAAAGTGGATTTCCGGGATCAGTGTATTGAATAAGCCTAGGTAAGCGCAAATTTGACTAAGTTGAGATTTGCCGAGTTACTGCTTTTGAAGAGCATGTTCGGAAGAGACGCAGAGTTCAGCGCGGGGGGGGGGGGGGTGGAGATGCTGTTGCAAGCGACACTGCAATTGATAAGCCCTGTATAAAGGTCTACGGCCGAGAAAGCCGTATTGGCAACGGCGGGCGCAACGCGGCGCGCGGGAAGCTGCATCCTGCAAATTTGATGAATTGTGTGGTTTACGGGTAAAAGAACCGCGTTTGCGCGGCTGACTCTTGCGCATTCGTCCAGCAGTAGGCCCTTAGACATAAACGCAGACATTCAGCTTTATGAATACGATTAGCGGCATTCCGCCCCCTTTGAATATGTGCTCTCGTACTTTGGCTGCGGGGAACCGAGCAACCCAACCCCCCCCCCTCTGTATAGACATCTTTATCCTCTCCACTCCTGCTCGCGGCGGTCAGTCATCTTTCAAACTCCCCCTCTTCGTTTTGTGTCCACTGTCCTTGTCCCCTCCCCTCCAGCACGCAATACATCTTGTACGGCAAAGGCTTACGTTCTGCACAGCCTTGCTTCAGACACCCTGTTCCTTCCGAGATTGAAACGATCTTCACCGTCTTGTTTACATGACTTTGCGGAAATGCTTTGATGATGATTAGCAAGCTTTTATTTTCCTAGATGACAACAAATCATAACAATTGGAACAAAATCTCAGTAGAATCTCAAATCGCTGCTGCTCATTTATAGAGCAGAAATTCAGCTCAGTTGGTTCACTCACAAGGGGAAGGAAGGTTAGTCGAAGTGTCCTTTCAGTATGAGATATTGCATCGACGGGTATGAAACACTGATTCCATAGCTACCCTTCTTACCTGCTGCGGTTACTGAGTAAGGAGTTATGAAGAATTTTGTGGAAACCAATTTCTTTGCATGGTCAATGTTAAGTCAGCCGTTAACTTTTCTTAGTTTTTTAACGAGGCGGCGTTGAGTGGTCATGTCCCATTCAAGGATGTTTATCGCACAGACTAACCTGACAATCATTTCACGCCCGGGAGAGATATTACGACTGATTTCATCCTGGTTGCATGTTCAAATCGTTGCTCACAAAAGCCTTCATGACTCATCATTCAGAGATCCGCAGCAGATAGGGAAGGCAGAGTTGGAATCAGCGTTTCATACTCTTAGAAGCAGTGCTCATTTTATATCAAAAGGCTCACCTGGACTAATATTCCTTCCCTTGCTAGAAAGATTTTAATAACGCTCTTACTTATTGGAAATACACATATACTGACTTTTATATACGCAAAAATGCAATTGCCACAGCAACATTGCCTCAATGGTGGCAAAACTTTTCACATAGATGGTCCTTACCTTAGTCCGTTCTACATCTGTTTTTTTTATAAATTCAAATGATTTCATCCCTTTCACTTTCGTTCCGCTGTTCTTGCTAAGTGGAATGCACCCTAATTAAACAGCGCAGTGCGTGCAATAGGAACACAAGAAGAAAATGTGAAAATCGTTGTGTCAAGGGGGAATTCGTTTTCTGTAGGTACGTTTGCTATCCTGCTGCCGACCCCTGTGAGAAACTAACAAGGGGAGTACTTCCAAAGGTCGCGGCCATTTGATATGAGATGCATATTGGCTAAAGCACTTTCGAACGCTGTTTTTGAATCTGCATTAAACTGCTGCGGATCACTCTTTTGGAGTTATGAAAGCATGAAAAGCCCCCTTTTGAATGCTTCCCTAAGTTTGAGGACGCTGATATTTACGTTGGTGGTGCAGTGGTGTGGTGACTAGTGCGTCCACATCGAGGCGAGAGATCAATGATTTGAATCTGGTAGAAAGCGAACACTTTTGCATTTTCAGTGAGTTAGATACATACGAAACCGTCTGCAGACACTCACAGCAATATTCAGCATATTTGAACTAGAAGGATTTTATTGGCACAGCTGCATGTGATAAGAGCCTCTCCACCGTATTCGAACTATTAGGTTGGCACATAAGTAATGCAACTTTTTATATAACTTTTGTCTATTTGAACGTAGCGCATTCATTTTTTGGCAGTGTAAGGAATATGATGTAAGCTTCCAATGCACACATTTTTGCTGAATTTTACCATCTTACGTGAGGATTACGGTAGGTTTACGGTACTATGGGAAAAATTTTAGAATGCATCAGATCTTGCTGGAACTTGGCCTATAGGGCTTATTTGACATGATGATCACAAAAATGAGATCCGTTTTGCATGGAAAGACCTCGTTTGTGAGATCAAAAGATGAATTGCATTCTAGCGACAAATGAATATGATATTTGTGTTTACCGCATTGGATTACCCTATAGTGCAAAGTTATAGCGAATTCTGACTTTTCGCAGCTTAGTTATTGACAATTTGCCTTCACAACTTGACGCATTTGACTTGTTCAACTTCTCAAAGGCGCCACACCTTGATTTGTGTTCAAATTTCATTTCTTTTTCACTGATTCCAATGTGCCAACTTCCAGCTACATGCTGCCTATAATTGATTTTTCATATGTTTGAATCAGGTTTCGCAGGGCTTCATGTTTGCCAAAAAGTCGTGAAACCTCTATTTTCAGCAGTTTTCAAAAAATGCTTAGAATTTTTGTACTGCGTTATCAAAAATCAAACGGTTTGTGCAGACTTGCAGCTTACATCACGATCTACATGGTGCCACAAAAGGAGATTGCTACATAAAATAGGAAAAAAGTTACGGGAAAAGTTGCAAAACTTATGTGCCAACCTAATATTAAACTCAGCCTCTAATGCAGAAGAACGCTAACCGTGTATTACTGCACTATTGACCTAAATCGCATGTCTTTAAACTTGAAAAGCGCCCAAAACGAGGTTTTCAAGCATCCATTACTCCTTTCAAAAGAGATTCCGCAAAAACGAAATGCAGAATTGAAATCACCGTTCAAAAATGCTATAGCCTATACATGCCACATCAAACTGCCACGGCAGAGGATGATGTGAGTAAGTGATGAGTGCTTACGGTAGCTGAGCCACCATATCCTATTCCATCTAAAATTCCAGACCCTACTCTCGCTTAATGTACTTTCTTGGTGTCAACGGTAGTGCTTATTGGATAGTCTACTTTAGTACATAACTAAAATCCCATACAGTTTAAACTCGAAATGCGGAACAGGGCCATATTGTCAAAGCCAATCATCATACATGCTTATTCAGCATCAACTGGTACTGAGTATAGCTCGTATTCCGTTGCAGATACTAGGGATAAGTTCAATATTTTTATACCAATATGGATTGCATATTGCAGATCATCGTCAAACATACGTCGACCGTCATACAGCCTTTCACATGTGTCAAGTCACAGCACACTGGAAAGAAAGCCTGCTCATCTGTCCATGAAAGTACGTGCTGTGGATGCTTGAGCAAGCTTACCTTAGATTTTTGCGACTCTTTACTTTGTTTTTTCTTTTACAGGGTGTCTAAATGCTCAGAGCATTTTATGCTCATCTGTTATATACTCATTCTGCTTTACCCGATATATCTCTGGGCTTTGCCTGAAAAATTGATATTGACACTCCTTCACCATAGTTATCTCGACATCGATATCAATTCGCTGTTAATCATCTGCTGCTTTACAAACTTTACGATTCCTGCTGTTTTTGTTTGTTTGCCTTTCTTCCAAAGACGTGTTACTCAGCGTGCCTTTTTGAGCGAGTGTTTTGCCAGAAGTGCTAATATTGTGTATATATTCAATCGAATGCTTGTTTTTATGAAGATTTCGCGCTCTTTGTCGATGTAGTCATAAGAATAAACTTATTTTTGTCCTTGTAATTTGAATTATTCTGTAAAAGAGTGTCTTGTTAAAAAATTAGCTCAATGCAGGGCAACAGTTTATGCAGATCTTCACGTTTGAACATTCTGCAGCTTCACCTCTCACAATCAGAGTTTGCTGGATTGAAGCTCGTACTTCTTAATCATATTCAAAGAAAGATTCAAATGTACTTTTAGCTGCGATGCTGCCGAGCACGCACAGGACTACCTCCCAAGCTAACTTTCTATTTCTACATAGACTATTCTGCTTTGAAAGGTAGAATGTCTATTTTCCAGGCTTTGCTTTAGATCAAAAATAATGATTCAAAGAATTCTTAGAAATTGCAGCAGCGAAAAATCTTAGTTATTGCATGTATTACGGATAACTATTCACATGTGCAGAAATATATGATATTTGCTATCACATCCAATTGCCTCTTGACGTGTGTGTTGAAGCGTTTCGTGTTTGTCTTCTGGGGTATTTAGCGATAGCGTTGAGTCTGGATCTACGGTGGATTATGTACTATTTTTATACCATGCCGCGGCGATGAACTGGGAAGGCCCATATGTTATAAAGCAGAACTATTTAACATGCCATTATCACACAAAAATTACAACAAGCTGCGGCCTTAAAATTCAGAATAAAACGTTAATTTTTACTGTAATTTCAGTAAAAACAATTTTTATAAAGCATACTGACGTGCTACTGGCATAGCTTAGTTCACATAGCCTGGTGACATAAGAGACTAGATGCCTTTGATGTAAACTGTCGTCCTTCGTTGTGCGCAATCCTTGTACGTCGCCATTCCAAACTCACAACCTTCTAAGAGACTCTAGTATGTGCCAAAGTGTAATTTTGTGCAGTATGAGAAGGCATCTAGGAGAGACGACAAAAAAAGGTGTTTTACTGGTTGTCAATCTCGCCTCTTACTTGATCCTGATTTAAGCGCTTACATCGAGGCTCAAATTGGGAGTTTCAGGTTCATCACATAAAAGCTCAAGCCCTTTAATTAAAATCTCTTTCATACACACTAGTATAAGCTACAAGTTAAGCTAATTAGGAGCCTTGAGAATAAAATTTGAAGGGAGTAGTAATCTTTCAAATACAAGATCTTTGAAAGAAAAGCTTGCGTTTTTTACCTATAGCCTTCTTTCCGTTCGCGATACCATCATGAGCAGGTACGCGATAAGATACGAAAGGCTTAGTGCTTGTGATGATTTCAACTACATCGAAAAACACGAAGACTGGGCAAAGTTATAGCTTTCCAAAGTGGAACTTTGCAAAACGGACATTATTTTTGCACCAACCTAACATATTTCACATTGCCTTAATAAGTTACATCAGAGCACCTGTATTTGGTCGCTGATGTCACGGAAAACATGCCATGGTAATTTTTTGTTGAATAGTGGCCAAGAAAAAAATTTTTTTTTGCAAACGTAGTACCATATTCGAAGGCTTGTTTGGGCAAAAAGGTGGAATTTTTGTCCAAGTTTGCTTTTTAAAGGATATGTAGTATCTCGTTTGAATTTAGAAAAGGAAGAAAATTTATGCGGCAACCTGGTATTCTGCAAAAATGCGGCGAAATTCTTTTCGTGTGTTGAACTGATGATGGCTGTTGTGTAAGGATGCATGCAGAAGTAGCACGAAATGTTATTGCTGAGGAAGTTTTCTAAAACTGAAATTGGCTTAACCTAATATCGCTCAGTGTTTTCAAACTACGCAGAGGTAAGCAGAGCTTCCCCTTATTTCTTTTGACAGCTTTAGTGCATGATGTATACAGTGAGCTTATTGAAATGCGTGTTGATTCGCAGCACAGAGGAGCGCACCAGAAAAAAGTAAATTGTTTAAATAAGTATATTCTAAGGCCTAAGGCATACCTCCTGCGATTCCGGTCGCTGCGCAATTTCCATGTCGGACATAAGATCCGGGTCCGCCGCGCCGGCGCGCTCAACTGTGTGGTCGCGCCGTGTTTTTAGATTGACGCCGCGACGAATCGCGGGCTATTTTTGGACGGGCAAACTTTCGCCAACGATATCTTCGCGATATCGAATTGAGCGATGTCGCGTCGCTGGTGCTGCCCCACATTTTTTGCAAATTCGAATCTCATTAGAACTATTCCATCTCACACAAGCGCTTCCTCTCTGCATGGGAGAAGGTAGGTTATCTAACATTCCATACTATAAATCCTTGAAAACAACACATACGAAGTATATAGTATGGAATGCTTCCCATATGTCACATCACCCACTGTGTTAGCATCTACTCCCTCGCAATGCATTTTATGTTATCCTGTTCTTTTTTATTAATAACATGTGAATGGTGATCAAGTCTCGAATGTTCTCGCTATAATTTCTGAATTAGAATAAATGTACAATCTCGGTTGCCTAAACCTATATGCATAATCGTTCGCAGATCGGCAGACAAGAGCTCGCGCAGCATTCATTGTTAAAATATGCCTGTCCAAATTTTTTACGGGGCCAAAAGCATGGTCTTTCTGTTACGAAGCTAACATATGCCTACCGTCGTTGACTGAAGGAGTGAACTCAAAACTTTATGAATTGTAATCAATTTCATCGCAGATATTAACTTGCGCCGGTACAAAAACTTGGTAAATACGAAGACGAGGTTGAATCCATATCATTGCTCGTTTGCTATAATGTTCTTTGAAAGCATATGACGTATTTGTACAAAGTTTCCTGAATAAATGCATTTCAGACAAACTAACGCAAATTTTCCAAAAGTGCGTATAATGCGATGTCGTGTGTGAATGTCTACGGAATCGCTTTAGATATGTCGGGAGTTCAAGCGATGAGCGATTTTCACGCAGTGAAAGGTCGCCCGGGAAGCCGATTCGCAGCGACCAAAAGTCGTGACGACGATGTCACGATGAGGTATGCCTTAGGCCTAAGAATCACAGCCACTGCTATATATCTCGAATACGTGCTTGATGAACGTGACTGAACTCAGAATACTTTAATGCAGACGTGCTCGTAAAATCATTAAAAACGGCATTCTTCGCTAACTTTGAAAAAATGTCATCAGCTTATTTGCGCATGCATGGTTACCAACTAGCTTTTGATAAAAACGGAGCTATATTGTGGGTTTGCAAAAGCTACGAGCTTCAGCTTTGGTCATCAGCTCGTTAAAAAAATCTACCGAGAACCAGCTATATCGAATGTACCGCGTTGGAGCCGATCCTGAATCTACAAAAGGTACTGCGGAAATTCTTTGACAATTTTCGTACTAGTCCGAAACACAATTCAAAAAATTCTTTTCTTGTTTTTTTCAGAAGAGCTTACTGTTCACAAAGTTATGGTGTAATCGACTCTGTTAATCTTTGTAAATTGATGTCATGTAACGGCAAAAAATGTTTCAACAGAGTATTGGCAGATGTTTTCGCACCTGAGGTGGTGCTTTGGAAGGTATAAATCCGTTTGCAGATTCAGACATCTACTGTGATGTAGATTCTGATACGCTACCATAACTACCATAACAGTGGTACAGTTGCAGTTTGCAATTTAGTTCCAAGATTTCTGGTTGGTAAAAATTCGACTTTGCTCACCATTGTGTGTTTTCAATCGGCACACACAATCACTTGCCACAAATTCAACAAGTAAACATCCGTAAAGTAAGATCAAAATGAAGGCAATGACTGGTGAAGCGAACAAAGTTAACAGTAGCAAATTTGCGAAGATTACTGAAACTACAGTTGTAGCGGTGGAATCCGGCCAAAATTGCGCGGTTTGCGGGATTTGTGGGACTTGCGGGATTTAGTCATAACTTCTTCTAAAACACTTCTTCACAACTTCTTTATGTGGAATTTGCAAATGGATTTGACTTCAGTTCGATGAGACGAATCTTTTAGTATACATCATGACCCTTTTCGATGGTGCATTGTATTGTATTGGCATGCATTATGAGATTATCAACATGTATTGTTGCTCATATGAAAGGAATTTGAAAATAACAAAGTAGTATCATATGCTACTTTATCACCATAGGCTGCGGGCATTCTGTATACTATGAGAATCGTCTCATCAAGCTAAAGCCAAATCTTCTTGCAGATTCCAAATAAAGTTGTTGTAGAAGAAGTTGTAATCAAATCCCGCAATCTCGCATCCCATTACCGCAAATCCGCAAAATAATTTTGGCCGGATTCCACTGCTGCAACTGCATGAATAGCATGGTGGGATTGGCTAACAATTTTGATACGAAATTCGCTTGAATCACAATTATAAACGAATCAAAGGGCAAATTTTGAATTAGCGAGATTCTATTTTTGTAGATTCTGCAACCACTCCAACGAATGCTACACATTATGATTGCAACAAACCAATATACTCCAGTATATGCGGGAATTGAAAGCGGGCTACACAAGGTACACGGCACTTTGAATACAGTTTCGGTGATAGTCGCTTTTCTGCCGAGCTTTACTTCATCAATGCACATGGTTTTTATGCCACTTCGGCATTTTGAGAAGACAACTGTGGAAGCGGTATAGTCAAGCAGAAAAGTCTGTGTGGTTGTAGTCCTAAGCAGGTCAGATAAATCTTTTCGGAAGCAGCAGAAATGCGCACGCTTCATGGTAGATAGATCACTCTTGAAAATGTCGCTATGCATGCTAGCGCTTTGAGCGCATAGTTTTTTTTCTACCCCGCGATGTGAATTGGTAGGTGGGAACTAAGTTTTGTAGCTTTTCAGTTATTTTCTTTTCGAATGTGGCCCACTCAATTCGGCATTGCGTTGACTACATGGAACTGTGACTTCATCTTTTTTGAGATAACGAAATTTTTTAAGGTAACTTTCATGGGTTATAATGCTAGTGGTCCGACGACATGTAGAGCAACACGGCGACAGCTATTCACAATTAGACCGCAAATACTCAGGCAAAAGTTCCGGGCGAGCGGTCACAAGTACCGCGCGAGCGGATTTCACTTTTCCGGGTCGCCCGGTAGACGCGAGCCCCCGCCCGGTATCGGCGACAGTTCGCCCGGTCATTGCGAGCCCTCAGCGGCCAGCAACCCAAACTTAGTACGCTCACCCGGTCTTTGTGGATGCTCGCGCGGTCTTTGTGGATGCTCGCGCGGTCTTTGTGGATGCACGCGCGGTTTTTGTGGATGCTTGCGCGGTCTTTGCGGATGCTCGCGCGGTCTTTGTGGATGCTCGCGCGGTCTTTGTGGATGCTCGCGTGGTGTTTGTGGATGCTCGCGCGGTCTTTGTGGATGCTCGCGTGGTCTCTGTTATAATTAGATAATTGAATTTTGTTATCCAGAAGTTACAACGGCACAAAACATGAATTTTTATTCGAACTTAGTTATAATGCGTGAGATAACAATTAACAAGCCAAAGCAATCATAGCTCACACAAGATTATCTACACGAAAACAGAACAAATAATTTTTCTAAGCTAAACAAATCAACAACAGCAGATCTCTTTCAAAAACATAATGAACAAAGGAACGCCAAAAAAAGCTCAAAAATGGTCACATCGTCATTTACGACGGCAGCGCATACCGACTTATGGACGAATAGTCAAGCAGTCATCATTCGGCCTTGCGCGTTTTTTTTCTAAAAATATATGCATAATTGTATGTAAACTTTTATAAAAGAGAACGCTTACATCATAAAGCCTTCATTTATTGTTTTCGACGTCATATTCGTATGCGCGAATATCTCTTCTAAGCAAATGGTCTATGAGATGTAGCGTTGGGAAAAAGTTCCTTTACTCACAAGGCCATTTGCAGGGCTTTGAAGAGGTCCCGCCTATACACAATCCTTTCATGTGCCATCCTTTCAAATACTTCCGCCCTTTCCTCTCTTGTTTCTCCAAGACTTGCGAAAAAACTGTAAAAAATTAAACTACAACTTTTTGGAGAATTCATCCTAGCTTCACCTTGTACTGTCGACATTGACGGCTGGCATTTTGAGTTCTGGATGCCCAAAGCCGATTGTGTCTTCGCCAAAGTCTAAAATCAAAAGTCCTGAACTATTTCGATATCAAATACATACCTAAAAGTGTAGTTTCGACCTTAGACGGCAAGTTTTTAAGTTCTGAATTGCGGCCTCCTTTCCCATTGAGCCTCAGGGAATATTCTTGGATAGATTCTCGCGGTTCCGTTATCTGTAAAAATGACATTGATACCAGAACCTCTGCAAGTTATAAGGCATGATTACCTGTACCAGGATGTATCTGTAAAAGCTCATGAACATCTTGAAGGCGGTATCGCCAGCTTTTGTTTGATAGTTGACGATCAAGTTACTCAGGCTAGTCTGAAACTTGTTTTGTTTTTCTTATTGCTCTTTATTCCTTACATGCAGAAATGGCGGTGGTCCCTCTAGCTTCCACTCTCGAGTGCAATTGTGAATCGAGATAGTGAGGCCCTCCTCTTCCACGGCTAAACTTTGTTGCTCCTTTCCTTCAATCTCTACCATGCGCGTAGGACGATCTATTTTGGAAAACTGGATTCCACACTGAACTCGTTCCTTATTAATGCTGTTCAAATTTGCAAGAGAAAATCACCATCAAAAAATTTGCGATGCTATGTAAACGCATCTCTTCCGTCGGGTTTGAACAGTCCCTCATCACAAAAACGATAAACTTTATGTGCTTCCTCGATCGGACAAACTCCTGCCGAGATATATGCTATTGCACACCATTCTGAACCAACATTGACCTACATCGTAAACTTGCTGGTTGAATGTTCCGTTGTTCTTCTGTCTGAGTATCAATCTCGCAGCCTTGTTCAGATCTAATGCACCGTTGCACACGCACTGGTACAAATTTACCTCCTCCGTAGCATTTTCCATTCTTAGATCAGTTCGGGCAAAAAAGAGTTCTGTAAGTTGATAATAGGTGATTGTCAATGAAAATAATCCGTAAACATCATTAACCATGTGTAAAATCCTCTTCATAAAGTTCGTCTTTACCATCAATCTTGACCAGATGTGGAATTTAGGTCTCTTCAGATCTCACCATGTCAGTGAAAGTTCTTTTTTGCCTGAAATCAGACACCGAAAATGAATCCAAAAACTCAATGTAAGAACTTACGGCTGAGCTTTATGCACCGGCATAACCGTTTGAACGGAACATCTTTTGCAGGCTTTGGCCTAAAAGTACTTGTAAGCGAATTTTCATATAGGTACATGATATGCAAACATATGATTGAATAAATATTAGGTTGTCCCGAAAGTTTTGTCAGTTTTTTCAAACCACTGTAAAACCGCGCACAATGAAGATTTGAGTGACTTTCAACATGCATTCGATGCAGCTTTTCATTCTCTTTCTGATGGATACACCTTCATACCATAGTCTTGTATGCTTTCTTTGATAATTGCCAAAATTCTCCACCTGTCAATTTTACCTGCTCAAAGTTGAGCTAATTTTCAAAAATTTCATTACAAAGTTTCGAAAAAGACTAAGCATGTATCAAATAGACCAACTCTCGGGCTATAAGCTCATGTTTTTAGATTCTCCTAATCTGCTGATTTTAACTTCAAAAAATTATTTCTCCGGAGGCCTTGGTTTTTAGCAAAGTCATGAAACGCGCAATTGCAGCAAAAGCATGAAAGCTTTTGAGTTTTTGCGAATTCAAACTTGTTTGTTATTTAACATCATTTATGCAACATAACCAAGTTTGATTTGCTTCAAAAATCAGCTTTTTGTAATTTTCGGTAATTTTACGTGATAAAACGTGTTCAAAAAGCCGCGGTTTTTCTCAAATAAATAATTATTACGGACATTATAAACGTGGCCCACGTAATCTAAAATAGGTACAATGTAGCCAGATGTTTGTCCTACATAACAGTCACCAGCGCTCATCGAAAATATCAAGATAAAAATTTTGAAAATTCAGGAAAGTTTTGGCGCTACCGCTGAGGTGCTCAAAAAACCATGGCGATAACATCGTAAAGACGGGCTAGATTAGGGAACAAATATAGCCATAAGAAAGAGGATGCAAAAATGAATAGAATGACACCTAGGTCGTCTATGGATTGGTGTTCTGTGAGGTTTAGTGAGCGATGAAAAAAACCGACAAAACTTTCGGGACAACCTAATACAATTTCGGAAAGTGATTGTTCTTCATCGTAAAAACTTCTTAACGCATGAATGATAATCAAAGCTTGGATACATATTGAGAGGAATCAAAATTGAATGATGTGCATGCACAATTTATAAAATTCGCTGGACGGATCTTAATACTTCGAGAAGTTACCTCATAAAAAAATCATTATTTTCTTTTATCAATTGCATCAAAGAAAGCCGATTTCGCGAAGAGGATGTACGCGTAAGGAAAGGTTGTGTTCGAGATTTTCGAAAGGACTGTTGAAGTTATGTTCTTCTAAAACCACACGAACTCTGCGACTTCTTCTATCATAAGGAAAAAAATTATCGATCCAAAAAATTGGATTTCGCCGCCGTTATCGTGGCCTGTCATGAAAATGACGTCCTGTCTGCTGTGCAATGGCCTTTTCCAGTAAGTCCCAGAGGTGTAGACCTTCTTGTTGATGACAATCCTCGAACTATGGGACGGTTGCTTCTGTATACTTTGAGAAGAAGGTGGCTTACTATACGACTTCATCACTTGAGAGCAAAATCCTATGACGTTCTTGCAACATCCCTGCCTCCAGCCTGCTCCCTTTCGGGATGTACATTCGGTCATCCAAGCGCACTCCAACGGGAAACCTGTGCGGAAAATTTAAAACTTTTGGTTCAAGCTCAAATTTGCTACCTCTTTTTGTCTTTGTTCATTACTTTTTCCTTAAGTGCCAGCATTTGCGGCGGCATCACTGCTGTTTTTGTGCAGATTACCGAGCCCGCGTACAAAATTCGAAACTTTTCCTTGCGATTGAATGACCGCGGCGGGCGGAATGAGCGCTTGAAGAATTTACCTTCGGTGATTGAATCGACCCTTCTTGGTAAGTTTGACATAAATACTTTCCATTATCTATATATAGTTTCGTTTTAGATTTTATGGAAGACGTGATCGGTTATGGCCACCAGGAGTTGAAAGCACCAGCCTACGACATGTCCAGTTCCAGGTACTGTAATGTTTTCAATGCACTCTAACACTTACCCTATTTATTTTAGTTACTTCGCCAGTCTTGGGAAAAGTGAAAAAGAAAGGCGTGAGAAACTCAAGCGTTTATCCGCTGAGCGCATAAGTTACAGAAAAGTCATGTTCAAGGCCTTGCAAGTGGCTATGTAAGTTGGTTTTCGGAATATGCATTCCATATGTAATCATTTCAGGAGGGATGTTCGCAGCTATGCATACGATCGCGCTGAAAGAAAATGGATTCCGAATGATGTGAGTTAATCTCTGTGCTTTTCGAAAAGACAAAATAATAGACTTCAGAGAAAGAAACGATCTCTGCCCCCCGAGGAGTAAATGAAGATTTCCCAAATGGAATGGACCCGACCTCATTGATGACCTCTTCATTGCGTATTATTTTCATTTCTGATGCTCTACTCATATGGCTTTCCACATTGAAGACTTGGTAGCCTTCCTACCCCAGATATTTTCTTTCTTCGTTCTCTTACTTTCTGAGGCATATTTGAAGTTTTGAGCATATACGTTGTTTTTGTTTACAATTATTTTTCATCGTTTTCTCTCAGTTTTGGAAAAATCAATCAATTTATGTTCTCATTTCTGTTGCTCCCCTTAGTGAACAGTGAAGTACTTGAATGTTCAAGCAAATTCGGCGCCTGTTATTCCTAATCTTCATGGAAGTTGTACGGTTCTTATTGGTTTTGAATCAAATGTTTTTGTTGGTTTCGTACGCATTTGCACACAAAGAGATCGCAAAATTGTAACAGCATAACGCATCACGGAAGTGATCGGAAGTGGTCCAAAAAATCGAATCCGCTTAACCAGGTGGGCAGAAAAATTGTTTTCCTGTATATACACAAAAACAATTTACCTAAGACCTTACCTCTACCCAAAGCAAACAAGATATGAGAGGATTTCAATTCGAGATGAAAGATGATTACCCCAAAAACTGAACGAAAGCAGAGCTTTCGTTCAGTTTAAGAGGGGAGGATTGAAAGTGAATTCAACAGTACTCACATCCGTATCTTCGACGTTGTTGGATGTGGCTAATCCTGGCGTTATACATTTCGCTGTAGTTCATGTATTCCAGTCTGAAGAGGGATGGTAAAGGAAGGGTAATAAGAAAAAAATATGAAAGTAGGATGAGTGTACGAGAATGTAAGGAGAGTGGGTGAGTGTGAATGAATGAATGAAAGTAGCGTGGCGTTGGCATGCCAGGTATTGACACGTCCTGAGGTGTGAAAGTGGCGCTGACATGCCAGGTATTGACACGTCCTGACGTGTGAAATGTTCGGTTGTCAGCAACATTTGAACACCATCGATTTCCCGCGCTTCGATTGCGGGATGGTGGACCGATCATTGATGCCGCTCGGCCACTGTCTGCAAGCGCTCGCCCGACATCTCTTGATCGTACACCGGCCGACCGGTTGATTGACAGCCGCTCGCCAGGTGAATGTAACCGCCCACCCGGTGCTCTCTTATGGCGGGGCGCTCGCCCGGCGAATGAGGTCGCTCGACCGGATAATGCAACCGCTCGGCGGGGGTACTCTGATTAGCGCGGCGCTCGCCCGGTATTTTTGCCTGAGTAGGTAATAAGTTGTTGAGGTGGTAAATTACGCCAATCGTGTTTATGAGAATGCGCAAACTCTGTGTAGCTGTTAAGAGAGCAGTCAAGAATAAATTCAGGCAAAAACATCCAAAACTATAACATTTTTTTCCCGTGGAGAGATTTTCCAGACATATTCTTTGCATGATTTGCTGGAGGGAAAGCAATGCAAAAATCTTCATGTATGCAATTTCCAGTGCGACTCTAAAAAATACATTTGATTCTGAAGAAATTTGATATTGTATAGATAAGGTCAAAAAGAGTTCTACATAATGATTTTTTTGTGCATACGCGCGTATGCACGATCCAAAGCAAGAAACGTTAGTGGGAAAATGGCTCGGTCGTCGAGTTAAGAGTGCTACTTGCATGTTAGTCATGAATCGTCAACGTATTTGCAGTTCACGAGAGTAACGCTCCGCACTACACTCACCTTCTAGTTTTGCATTATGCAGGCCCTCAAAAAGACGTTGGTAATAGAAAGTTGCGCAAGAACGAATTTGGAAAGCCTGGATGAAATCTCATTCAGCAATCACAAAACTTTGTCATTTGGTCCTCCTATGCAGCTTATAATTGATCCAACCTTGTAATCCAGCGGATTAATAGAATAGAAAAACGATGGAGGATTTGTACTTTGACACGGACGTATAATATGATTGCTTGAAATGCGGCGTTGTTTATTTCATTACTTGCCGAGTATGCGGTGAAGAATGTGTGAGACCGGACGACGTCTGAAAGTACTTCCCAGGGAAGCGTGTTTAGTTGAAGTGGCCTTTCCAGATGGGATGTATACCGTACTGAAGGGCATAAAATGCTGATTCCAAATCTGCCTTTTTTATCTGCAGAACATTTATGGACGAGGAGTTATGAGCGCTTGGAGCAAAAATTAAATGTGCAAGTAGGAGGAAGATAGCCGTGATACTTTTTCTAGCTCTTCAATGTAGCAGTGATAATCGTCTGAACATTTTATTCAAGAAATACTCTGAAATAAAAAACATATATTACACTTAGATGCATTATTTAAGGGCCAGTAAGATTTTAGCAACTCACTTTTTAAAATGCACGTTCAATTTCAATTCTTGGTTTCAAAAAACGCTCATAACTCCTCGTCCATAAATGTTCTGCATAAGGAAGGCAGGTTTGAAATTAGCATTTCATGCCCTTCAGTGCGATATACATCTCATTTAGAAAAGCCAGTTCGACTAAACAAGCTTCTCTTGTTAGATGGACAAAACGCAATGCATCCACTCCTCTAGGTGCGCATAAAGGACTGTCGCACAATAGTGTGTTGTTTGAGATCAGGGTAAAGCGGGGGGTGCGGCACGCCGCAGGAGGGGGGTCGTAAGGGGGGGGGTAGGTAGGCGGGGGGTCGTATCGACCCAAGGTCAAAAGCGGTTTCTAAGGGGAAATGACTGCAGTTAAGTTTTACAATTCATGTTCAACGACACAAACTTGCAGATACCGTATGCCTACCGTAACCTATCGTACCTCTAATCAAGCATAATTGTCGTAATCCGCGTGTCGAACAACCCCTATGCGCCAAGTTTCAGCGAACTCTGAGGTCTCCGAGCAGTAAACAACCTTGTATCAAGCAATAATTTAAAACATGATTAACTTCATCTTAACGGTGAGTAAGCTACCTCTTCTTGCACTCAATACAAAGCACTACTCCTTCTTTGTCCACCTCAGGAATCCCGCTTCAGAAGACCTCCAAACTATTGAATTAGAAGCCAACCAAAATCGCTTTTAGCTTTTGATCGCTGTGCTTTCACCAAATATTACTCAGAGCTAAGAAGACGAATAAGGCTCAGAACATCCCTATGGAATCTACGAGGTTTAGGCTAATGATTCATATAAATATTGTCCGCTAAAAATGTTTTTTTGATATAGTTAATGGCCTGCGGCTGCCGCAGGTTTTGAGGAGGGTGCCGCAAACCATTAACTTACCTTCAAAACGTTCAAACAGCTGCCTTTTTCATGTCAACCTATAGATCCATCCTTCCTCTCTCCGTAGTAGCTGATTCCCCTCGAACCTTCTTCTACAGAAGGAGATACATATGGTTTTTGCGAACCATATGCTGGGAAGTGTGGCCAAAAAATACTGGGTTACGGTAGTGCTCGAAAATTGTCAAAACACAAAGCCGCGAGATGGGAGTCTTTGAAATCTGCGAGCTAAAATCTCATCTTGTGATGTGCAGTTTTTCGGGCTTCTCTCTTTTTTTCTCGCTTTTCTCTCTCGTTTGTCTGGAATGTAAGCAGTTGTTAGTCAAGTCAGCTCGACTGGAGCGACATCTGCCAGTTCATCAAGTGTGATTTTCTTTGTTTTGATTCTAAAGGGTTACGTGTAGCCATTCCTTGCAGTTATCTAGAGCTTATCTATGTCCATTGTGTGGAAAGACATACAAGTATGAATACAATCTCTTTTTCCGCTGGCGCGGAACATGTCAATATCTCAATGAACTCGTGAGAGTGGAGGAGCAAAAGGTACTACATAACGTTTTTCCAGTTTACTTTTTTGTTCAGCAAGTTTTTTTCCGCATAAGCACGATCCATGCATACGTTTTACATATTTTTGCTTTTGCTATTTTTGCTATTTTTGCTGCTTTGTCGCCTTCATTGTCTCAAATTATCTTTGTTCTTATCTTGACTGGACCGTATTCAAGATTTTCCTCAGGTTAAAACGGTAAATCATTTAGCATTTGCATTTCTCGAGTTCGTGAAAGTGGTAATCCACAGTTTTTCTTGTAGTTTGATGTGTTTGAAAAAAGGGAGAAGAGTAAAAAAGTTGAGAGAAGTTGCAACTCTAATCCTGCCAAGATTTATCTGCTCAAGTGTCCTCGAAGTACATACGCTTCTTGTAACATTCCTGAGCGCTTCTTTTGGTGGCGATCATGCAATGAGATACAACCTTGATGCAACCTTGTTTGTCAAAAATTTGTAAGTTCAGTTCAGTTATGCGAGCTCAAAAAGAAGGTTGGTAAATAGTGTTTTGCACGAGTTGTTATCGGTGCTCTAGATTATCCGTGCTAAGAGTTGAACTTCCTTCTGTTGTTTGTTGATTGGTACCATTGGTACCATGGTTTTTGTTTCTAGAGTTTTGACTATCTCGTTCATTCCTGAGCAAGCCAACGCATGATATTCCTCATACTCCTCAAAAAGGTTTTTACTACTTGTTTGTGAAAGGGTGCAAATCGTATAGTTCATTTCAGGGTGAGACTGATCCAAAAGTGGCAAAGGCTTTTTCAGAACTTCGACAGACAGAAGCTTTGTCTAAAGAAATCAACAACGAACTTCTTGAGGTCAGGAAATTCTCCTCCTTTTATTGCCTTTCATTTTAGAAATTCGATAAATTACTTTTAGTCATTGCCTGCTGCATACGATAATCGAACTTTCTGTGTGAACACCCTCCAGACACTTTTCAACACTCATAATATTTATCAATCGGAATGCAGCAAGGTGAGTAGACCAAGTCTCTGCAGTTCTTTATGAATGAGTTACTTGATTGCAGTTGAACATACAAATCGTTTCACTTGATAGTCTTGGAGAATCTATCAACACATCGCGAGTTCCGCGACCAGAACCTCGTCCAGATACGCCGACTGATAGCGTCGCGGACGTAAGACTTTCAAAGGTGTTCTTGGTGTTGTCGCAACTCTTTATGTATTGTTGAATGGCTTATCTGTTTGCTGCAGATAAGTTCGCACCGTTCCACGCCCTCTCCTGTCCCCGCTCCTCCTCCGGCAACGCCAGCTTCTTTGGCAGATTCCGCTGCAAACCAACCAAATGCGTCTTCTGGTGGCAATCCATTTGAAGAAGGTAATGTGGAGGAAGTTTTCGAGAATAAGATCTATCCGGTATGTTGGTTAATCTTAATCTGAAGACATTATGGTTCTTTACGGTTCATCTTTTATCGTTTGTGATTTTATATGATTTATCTTTTATCAAATATCTAATATTAGAAAATTCCACCCCGTTTTATATGTGGTAAAGAGTGAGGCTAGGTCCCGGTAATAAAGATAGTTCCACAAACGGGGTGGAATTTTCTAATATTGGATATTCGATAAGAGATAAACCATATAAAATCACAAAAGATAAAAGATGAACCGTAAAGAACCATAATGTCTTCGAACTCTATCCTTCCCATTAAGCGAGTTCAATCCCGTGCTTTTTTACATTGCCTATGTTTGTCATAATTGTTTCTACATTGTAATTGACAGTCATGTGAGAGTATCCGCTTTTTAAAAGTTAGCGGCAGTGCCTCCTCGCGCCGATAAGGAAAAGGAGAATAATACAAACGAAACTCCGAAAAAAGCCAAGGGTCCGACAAACTCATTCGAGGGGGATACCGATGAAGAACAACACGAACAAGCATGGTCTGTTGAGTGAGTATTTGTTAGGTACACTGTTTGTTAGGACACTCAAACAACAGATTCATTCAATTTATTACTTCATTACTTCGTACATTGAATGAAATCAGAAACGGGCACGAGGAGTAAGAACTCCGCAGACGTTTTGGCATATCGGTTTATACGTGGATTCTAAATATCTTGCCTGTGTGTAGTACTCGAAGCATCCCGAAAGACACTGCAAAGTTGTCGTTACATACAATAAGCCCAACACTTTAAATTCAAACTCGCACCCAATATAGCGGATAGTCTGGATTTGGTTTATACAATTCAACTGCACTACCAGAAAGGCAAATTATTGCCAACACAAAGTAGAACATCGTTGCCGCAAGCATTGTTGAGGGTAGTTCTAAAAAATGTTATGGATGTCTGAACATGAACAAATGACATCACGCAAGTTCAAAAGCTTCTTCATATGCGAATGTCAGTAAGGTATGCGCTAGACTAACCGATTGACTGCTTCAGCACGACACGGCACATTTACTGTCATTTGATGTCACGTTGTAGAGGAATCAAGTTGGCGTGGCGATTTCGCTGCACCATTCTGCGATTCTTCTTATCATCTCTTCAAAACTACTGTATTGCAAGCATCGCAGAAGCCACTTCGATTTCCGTTCAACATGACGCCAAATGACATCAACTTATTGTTTGCGCAGCGACCTGCTGAAATGGGCAATCGCTTTGTCTGGCATCTACTCAAGAACACTGTTAAGTAGTAGTTTTGTACAAAATCTGAGTTTCAAAATTGCCGCCGCTTCGAAGTCTGAGGCAATTTGCAAATTCTTGTCGCTCACGGGAAAACACTCACAGTAAGACGATAATTACAGAAATCTATGTTGCGTACTATACAATGCATCTTAAGAGGTTAAATATCTGCGATGCACACCAGTATTCGTGAAGAACTTTGAAGATGAAATCAACTTTTGAAAAATAAGCATCTCATTCCCTTTTTAGAAGGTTGAACTCTTCTTTAAGTCGCTCACTCTGGGCTGATCAATATGCTTTGAGGCTAGTGATAATACAAGTAATAATTTTTGTTATAATTGAGTCCGGATCGAATAAAAATTCGTTCATTGCAGCGAAGCATTTGTGTATATAGGGTTTTCCAAAAGTAAGTACAAATTTTCCAATCGTTAATAACTCTTTTCCCACGAGGTCTTTTGCTCAACTTCAAGCACCATTCAGTAAAGCAGTTTCAACTTAGATTAACAGTGCTGAGCGGACTACCCACCGCTCCTCATTACTATAGGATTATGTTAGGAACTTTGAAAAAGGTTTTGAACTATCGATGGCTTCATTTTGCTATGAAATGGATAATCAAAAAGCTTAGAGCTTTATCATAAGGCTCAAATGAGTCGCTGATTATGGATATGAAATTCGCATTTCACCGTAGGATTTGAACTGTTATGACAAGAAAACCGAAAGAAGAGTTCTTTGGCACAGCATAAAAATTTAGATCAATTGCTTTCTCTTTGGATAGCTCATTAAGGAAGTAATTTATGGCGTTTTGCTGACGTACAGACTAGATATCAACGATCAACTTTATCGACTTTTTGAAAACTTTAGACGGGTTTGGGAGATGGTGCGGGAGGAGGTGAGGGCGCTGATTATGACTAGAAACTATTTATCATGTTTATTCGATGTTTGTAAATGTTTGAGCTATGGAACTGGGAGTTGGCCTAGGTAAGTGAGGGTTTTGATTATGAATAAATTGGCTTCAGCCGGGTACGTCGGCAAATTCTAGATAAGCTTGCTCTAGATTTTTAATAAACCATTTGAGTATTTATTCGAATTTCGACTCTCAATGTTCTAATTCATCGATATTCATTCATTCGCTAATTTTGACTTTCGAGTTTTAATCAGGATTCATTCAGACGAAAATTTCAAAATAATATATTTCATAGTCGTTTATTCGAAATTTTGAATTTATTTAATATTCATCCACTTGATAAAGAAAATTTCAAACTTCCCCAACAATTTCCCCATTTCGAGTATAGTCTGCATACGGCTCAGCTGTGCCAGAATGACAAGGGAAGAGTTTTGAACAGGACTGAACAAGAAGTCAGACGCAAGTCTTTCAAAAACAACCCCTCCCCTTAACCCAAATCATCCCTTCTTCCTCCTCTTACCACCGAACGTCAGAGTGCGATACTATGGAGGAAATCATCTTGCACTAATAAGCTTTGAATTTTTGAAGTTTTTGCTTCCGAGTTTCTTTGACTGCACTCTTACAAGCCAGTACTAGTAATTAATTAGTAATTACACGTAATTTAACGGCAAATCTTGGTCTGAATGGGTCTATTGAAAGTGCCAAACTTTCCCAGGGTGTTGGCTCCAAATTTTCGATGTAGCATGATAAGGCTATGACCTGAGTAGAAATGAGGGAATGGCTCGATTTTCGGGTTTAGGGATAAGTTAAGATTGTCAGGCACAAGGATACAAAAGTTAGGCAGCCTGATCTTTTCAGAGGTGGTGCCTGACCCCTTAACTTAATTCCCGAAGAAGCTTTTCACTCAAGTTTCAGTAAACCATTACCACAAGCCTCAAGCTGAAATTTTGCAGCACTTTTTAGCCCACTATGAAAGCGATGCGAAGTGATTTCTGCCATAGTTTGGTAGAGAGCATTACTTTGTTATGGACATAAGGGCTGACTTTACTTTCGAAGCCAAGTTGAAATATGTACGAAAATCTTGAAAAACGCTTTTTGACGTTAGAAAGCGCTAAAAAATATATGGGTAATGGTAGAGGTAATTTGGCATGCTGGTTACGGTCTCTGGTAACTTCAGGTATGTGTTGGTGAGAGAGGGAGAATTGAAATTTGGCTGAGAATTCGATAGTGTTGTCAATTGGTAGGCTGTTGAGTCATTCCTAATTTTGATGCGATTGTGATATCCATCGGCCTGGCGCTTTTCTTTCTCACCTTACTCGATTACAGTGATTCGTCGATTTTTGAATGAGTCGATTTGATTACGACCTTCCCTCCTCTCGATCTTACTCCTATTACGACCCCCCCCCCCCAAATCGGAAAGTCCACTCAACCTTGGTCATGAGTCAAAATCTGCGCAAATCTGCGAAGGATTGCCGCTTCGCGACATCCACCACTTCAAGGGTCTGTTCTCGCCAGCTATGTTACTTATGGCAAAGTCATGTGCCTGCTCCCCTCCCCCCCACCCCCCCCCCCCCGTCCTTACCCTTCTAGTCCCTTGCCTTTGCAACTTTAGCACGGAAGTTTTTGTGGGGCACTATGAGAGCGGCATGTGCGCTAAAGTGGCCTAGTGGATATGCGCAATGTGAGCTAATTTTGAACCCAATACTTTACTAGCTGTGTTCCCTATCACTCTCAGGCCATTAACCACGTTGGTGGGACAAATTCTTTTTTAAACTTAAAAAAATTGCTCTTTTTGTTCTGTCCAGCGTCTCGCTCCGCTCCCCCCCCCCTTTCCCTTTACACACAGCCGGGTCTCCTCCCTCCTGCTTTCCTCTCCGCGAAATAGGAATGAGGTACCGTCGTTCACAGAAAAGCGGTAGAATACATCATGAATAAAATGTTATAAATTTATTTTCTTAAGAGAGCGCTAAGAATCAGTAAATTGATGGAGGGTATAAGTGAAGCGTTGCAAAGATAGCCACTCGCGAAGAATTTCAATCGGAACATGCAAATTTTTGAGCGAACTTACAAACTTTGAGTTTTATATGTATATTTTCTGTTCAACTCTTCCCTTCGACAGCACAACCTGGTCAGCTAACAATAAGGGTTATGCAGGGCAACATAGATCTACTATCTGTTTTAATACGCAAATGTATTGTCAAATAGAATTCATAATTCTTCGCCCTTGTTATCTTCGGAAAAAATCTGCTGCAATACGTATTACAATCTATGACATCAAGCGCAAGGATCCATCAGCAGCTGATTATGGCTATCGCTTAAAGAAATACTTCGATCAAGGAGACTCATGATGAAAAAGAGGCGACAGAAACAGGAACACGTATTTGTAGTGAAGTGGAAGAAAGCGGGTGCTAAGCTCACAGAGCAGCTGTCTTCAACTCCCATTTTTGCAAAAGAGAGGGAAATCTGGAAAGAAAATTGGCTTTTTCGTTTTATTCTTTCTGCAACGAACAGATGTGGGGGTATTATCAGGTTGTTCCATAAATCCGTCCGTTTTGAATTTCGGCCGCAATGAGTATACAGCGTGAGCATAGCATACACTTCTCGCTTCCGAATAGATTGCAAGGTAATGTTTGATAGAGCAAAGCAAGCTCTATAAGAGACTATTCGCTTTCGCACCAGCTTTCATACATATCGAGTTTCAAACCGAAAACTTATAAGACAACTGCCAGAAAAATAGAAAAAATCATAACTTCGTTTAAAAAATTCCTACAAAAATTGTAGCATGCTCGCGTAAACACTATCCATGTAGCACCTTTATATACGCCGTTGCCGTATCCAAGATTTTCGTTCTTTTGCAAAGTGT